AATAAAATAAAATAAAATAAAAAGTTTTAAACAACAATCGACATATGATAATATATAATATATTTCTAAGAAAAAAATACAACTAATAAGATTAACATAGTTAGACCAGAGCTTCCAAAAGTTAAAAGCAGAAATTAGTAGTAAGATGAAAGCACATCTAAATATAAGGACTTACGATTAAAACATATGCAATAGTACATGCCTAAGCTTTCATAAAAGCAAGGCAGAAAAGCTTATACGTCTTGAACTCCATAGCAAATATAAACTGAAAATTAAGCGCTACAGCAATTGTTTAAAGCTATTTGTAGACACTTTTGCAAAGCACACAAAAGCTCTTGATACCGTGAAAGCTTCCAACAAAGCACGAAAGCTCGGAAGCATTGCTAAACTTCAATTCTGTAAACTATATACTAATAAATCTACAGCTTCGGCTTAAGCTTTAATTTGTATAACTACATACCGTGACTTGGGCCTCGAGCTGGAGCTTAAGTATAAGAAGCATAAGATGTCCGCATCGCCTGCCACTACCAGTGTCATCACTTCGAACGAACTTGCCATACAACAACAGCTTCAGCACCAGCAGCATCAGCACCAACAACAACAACAACTTCAAACGCATAGCTCTCCGACGCGCGTCTCACTACCACCCGGTGTTACTGTGACCAACGTTGTAACTACAACGTCTGCAGCCGCTGCCGCCAACGCCAACGGTTTAACACTAATGCATCGCTCGCCAGACAGTCCACAGCCCGAGTTGGCCACCATGACAAATGTCAATGTGCTGGATCTACATACAGACTCGTCGAAACTCTACGACAAGGATGCGGTCTTTATTTACGAAAGCCCCAAGGTGGTCTTGCCGACAGTGGGCACCGGTGCGACAGTCACCAGTGATGAGCATGTGATTGATGCACGCATGGTCGCGCAATTGAACGAACAGCAAGCAGCTGTTGCAGCGGCTGCTGCTGCTGCAGCCGCAGCCAATGATAATCAGCCGTTGGCTAAGATTGAATTCGATGAAAATCAGATAATTCGCGTTGTCGGCCCGAATGGCGAGCAACAACAAATAATTTCACGTGAAATAGTCAACGGCGAACATCACATACTGTCACGTAATGAAGCTGGCGAACACATACTCACACGCATCGTAAGCGATCCGACCAAGTTGATGCCCAGCGATAATGCGGTCGCCGCCGCAATGTTCAATCAGGCACAGAAAATGGCCAACGATCATGGTGTATATCAGACATCGCCATTGGATGCCTCAATGTTACAGCATTACGAGCCAGAGAATGTCGTTAAGGCAGAGGTGGATATATATGATGATCCGAAGAAACCGCCGGGCAGCGGTGGTGGTGGTCAGCAAATACTCTATACAACAACTGGTCCGGATACTGGGAAGCAACTGTCACATTTGCCTGTTGCCACTAAGTTGGAGTCGGAAATGTATCCGACAGACAAACATATCGATTTAATCTACAATGATGGCAATAAAACAGTTATATACACCACCACAACCGATCAGAAGGGTTTGGAAATCTATTCGGGTAGTGACTTGAGTGGCCTGGTTGCAGATGGGCAGGTGGTGGTGCAAGGTGGATTGCAGTATGCCGGCACTGGGACAGCTGGTGGACAACCGGTCTATATAGTGTCCGATGGTAGCTTGCCACCGGGCGTCGAAGGACATTTGCAAAGGTAAGTGGATTGTTTGTTATATATTTTCACCTGTGTGACTTATTTTCATTTTGGTTTAGTACCACAAAATCGGAATTTTTTATTATTGCCTTAAATTTGAAAAAATGGGTGTACGGGTTTCGTTTCGGGCCTCGAAATGATGAACAACATTTTTTTTTGGTTTCAAGTCCATGGTCGTGAACACTGCATACACTTTATTTATGATTTTATTATTTTTAGGCGGAAACGGGAAGCAAAGGTACCCCATGTTCTTGTAGAACAATAGTCTTTGATTGGGGTCTCACCAAGGTTTAAGTGACTTGCAGCGGGAAACCCAGTCGGTTGCTTCTATTTTCACATTATATAATATTGTCTCACGGTATATAAGATCTCAGAACTTCGTATTATCCACTCAGTTCGAAAGACTAAGAAACACTGCCATCTATTTGCTTGGGATTACACAAATTAGTTTTGGTAACACTTTATTGTAGAAATCTAGAGTATAATATAAGAATATATTTTTTTTTAGAGAAATGTTTAGACTTAAGCTATATGTTTCAGGGCTTCTTATTCCGCTTAAAATCGGTGTTTGACTAACCGATTCTCTCTTCTTAAAAGTGAGGTTAGCTTCCTTCACGAAGCATCAGCTTCTTAAGATTTCGTCTTATGATTGGTACCTTCTAAATTCATTTGTGAAACAATAAATTTTATAATTTCAAATTTTATAATTTCGATCCATTTCATTAAACCTACAACGTCCGTTTGCCATAGTTTTCCTTAAAATAAAGATTTGCTTGTCCGCCAATCCGGCTAATTGTACTTTATTGTAGCCGCCGTCGTCGTTGCTAGGCTGTCAGTCGGCATTTCGGTGTGGCATGCAACATGTTACCGTTATAATGTCGTTGTCGCTGACAAAGTGATAACACAACTGTCACACTACACTCTTCGCTAATGGCCGAGAATGCGAGCGCGCGCCTACGCCCCGCCGATCGAACCACGATAACTTCCACGAGACAGTTGGCTGCATGTTTTCGGATCGAACATTGCAGCGCGGTGCAGTGTTGCATTTGGCGGCTGAAATTAATTGCTGCGCTTTATGGTTTCAATGAAAATGCGCAACAATTGCTTGATATATTTATTTCGTTGTTGTTGTGTATCTATTTGTGCGCTTTCTTTGTTTTTGTTTGAAGTAAGTGCAAGTTGCTGTTTCTCCGCTTGTTTTTTGTTTTGTTTTTGCGTTTTTTTTTTTGTTGCTAGTATACATTTTAATTATTCGCAATTCATTTTCTGTTTTATAGCTGTCACCACCTTCAACCATTCGTACGCTTTAAAGCTTCACAGCGTTTAACGGTGACGACATAAAATCGTGAAATCATTACGCTTTCGTAGTTATATTATATATATATATATATATATGTTTATAGTTGCAGTCGCTCATTGACTGTTGGTTGGCGGCGCTCTCAGCTCGACCACTCGCTAAGCTGTGAGTTTTATTGAATTTTCATGTTCAATGGACATTTTGCTATAATCTTGCCAACTTCATTGAGTGCACTGCCGGCTCAAATGGCTGTAAAGGCTTGTGCGTCTTAAGTTTGCACTTGGCCGCCAGTACAGGGTGCTAGCTTGTTTTGAAATCTGAGCTAATTTGCAAACGTGTTAAAGCATCGAAGATCCAGGGTGATATATTTTTGACCAATCGGCGCAAAATAAGATTGGAGTGAGTCTAAAATTCCTGAGTTTAAAATCTTTATGATAATATACTAGTTCTAAACCGTAATTTACAAGGCTTTAGTTTTTGAGTATTGTCGCTTTTCTAATATTCTCCAGATATATACATATATATTTTTTCATAAACTTACTTTAGTCAGGTATCTGCTGAGACAACGCTTCCAAGCAGAAACTGCTAAGTTTCTATCCTACAAAAAGTTTTCTCCAAAATTTAAATAAATTTATGGAGAGTCTTCCGAATTGATTTATGTTCTTTGCAGGAATATAAAAATATTTCAACACTTTGAGCAGAATTATCTTAGTTACACCAACATAATAAAGTCCTTTCGCAGTAAAAGCTTTATCAGCACCCTGTTCTGTGGTTTGCTCTCAGTACTGCTGTGGTCATCTCAGCACTTCTTGTTGTTATTTTTGCTCCAGTTCCATTTTTTTCTTTGGATTACGCGGCAGCATAGCGCGTAGTTTGTGTGACGTGAACTTGGATTATTTATGGATACACGCACCATTCAACGACGCAACGCATTAAAACGGCAATAACAACAAGTACATCGCTTGCTCCCATTTTCGTGCGCTTAAGATGCTCCAGAAAGTGCTCTACTTTGCGACATTTCGTGCGTACACCCCGCGAGCGCCATAATATTGCAATATTTGAGTTATCCGTTCGTTGCCTATAAACTGAAGTGGCCTGCAATTGTTGTTGTTGTTGGTGGTGTTGCTTTTGCTGGCTGCCACCGTTGCAGCACGATGCTGTTAATTAGCTTTTGCTATGTCACTTGGCAGACAGGGACGCGGACGTTGTGCGCCTTCCGTTACCCAAGCGGCTTTCATGGCATTGCAACGAGAATGGAGAGCACTTACTTGCCACATGCGGATGCTGCACCAATTCTTTCAGCTATTTGATGTGTTTTGAATTTTTAAGTAGGCGAGTTAATAGCCAGAAATGAATGGAGAGATCAGCAGGGAGACAGATGCACGGCCAGCCGGGAAGACGAATATACGGACAGACGGACAGGCGGACAGACAGGTAGGCAAGCCGATAGCCAGCTATGACGGTCAGTTTAAAGAGGATGGTGCGCGTGGACATCACATGTTGGCAGGTTGAACGCTAGCAGAAATGAGATTGTGTGTGTGTCGCAGCGGCCGCTTATTGGAGCAATGAACGCTACTTGTGATTTGTGGTATTTGCTCTTATTTCGCTGTTGTTGTTGTTGCTATTAGTAAAGCCATTTCATTTGGCACATCCGCTGTGGCCGTGCCTAGTGGCTCTGGCGTGCATCTAACCTGTCTCTTATACACATCTAGATGTGTATAAGAGACAGTATTGGAGCAATGAACGCTACTTGTGATTTGTGGTATTTGCTCTTATTTCGCTGTTGTTGTTGTTGCTATTAGTAAAGCCATTTCATTTGGCACATCCGCTGTGGCCGTGCCTAGTGGCTCTGGCGTGCATCTAACTCCTGCCAGCCGTAAGGTGATTTCATTCTTTTTCCTCCTTGCAACACGGCCATAATCTTCTTCAACGTCGTCTTCATCTTCGTTGGACGCTGTCGTGCACGTCGTTGGGTAATAAAAATTTGAATAGAAATTAATCTAATGTAGAACCGTTAGGCGTGCAACAAACGACATGAGATGAAACGATTACTGTTATTGTTGTTGTTATTTTATCTGCAACATATATTTTTCCATTTTGATAAGCTGACAAGAAAGCGGAGCAGCATAATCGGAGCAGCAAAAGCGGCGCAGCTCCGTCTGCAGCGTTCGACGTTGGTGTGGGGTAAACCTTCTGTTGTTGTTGTAATATATTTGCTTTTGGCTTGGACTTTCTTACAAACTCCTATAAATATTGAACGAAGCAGAAATTGCTGTAGCATTTCGTTATGTTGCATGCAACACAGACGGCTGACTTTATCAAATTACAGTACTCTTTACGTATGGCATCTTAAGCTTTGACCGCGACACCAGCGTCGCGCAGTTTAGAATATTCGGTCCTAACTGCATGCTGTATTGATGGACATTCGCCGCTGGTATTTTGCTGTTGTTTTTGTGCGCTTGGCCCCCTCTAGATTTCACATGCAAATTCATGCAACCACCATGCTGTATGCCACGCTATGTCGCCTTGTGCTCTGAGTGTCTGGCCACAGTTGCAACATTCAAGTGACTTGTGGCATGCTGCACTCGCATGTTGCTTGCAATTGTGCCACTGATGATGGAAAGGATGTGCTGCTGCGACGCGGATGATTAGCATCAGTGGAACGTTGCAAGCACATACGCATACACTTATACTTACAAACATACATTAGCAAAGTGTGACAGTTGACGTTCATATGCCTGTGTGTGTGTTTGGATGTGTGTCGTTGTTTGCTTTAGCATAATATTTGTTTGGCCTGGTGACTTGCTAATTTCTAATGCGCCAATGTCTTTCGCGATGCGTATGTCCGATAAGCGGGACGTTGCTGGAGCCTTTGAAAACTTTGTTGCTTGTAGGCTGCGTTTTCATTATGGAAAAGCGAATTTATATGTGTGAGAGTGTGAATGTGTATATATGTACTTCCTTGTTTTTTTAACAATTTTATGTATTTTTGTTGTTGTGTCGTGGGGTGTGTTGAATACAATATGATGAAGGTGTCTAAATGAAGAATGAATGTTTGAAACAATAAAATTAAAGACAAAAATTAAGTGGCAATAGGGATCAAATTATAAATTCAGATGTGCTTGGGTTAGTTCGTAGCGCTAAACCTCACACCAAAAGTGAGCGCAGAATCCCATTTCGATAGCTGTTTTAACGCTGTTTCTTTGTGATTCCCAAAACTTTTAGCTATACATAAATTACCAAATTACTAGAGCCTTATAGATCGGCGTATGGATTATATATTATATATATTATTCTTATAGTCCACCGAAAATTATTTAATAATGAAAAAAACTTTAAAACTAGTATTCCGATTCTT